CAGTTCCGCAAGCTCATTCTATAAAGAGGTTCAATGCTTTACCCTGCCTACTACTTTCTGAAAAACCGTGCTACAGTTTGACCACAAATGACTCCAATTTCACCATCGAACGTCACCTCCATCTATTAGCGCATTCTTCGCTCTTTTGGTGCGTATCCTCTTATTTTGTTGTGTTTTAGTTTTTCTAGCTCGGATTATATAAATAAAGTTAGAACTTACGCTAGCGTATTGATGATCAATGATTCATTGAAACCAGAGATAAAGATAAAACATGAATATCTTTGGACGCTTTCACGTGAGAACACTAATTTCTGATTGGACGATACTACCAAAGAGAGAAAAAGTAAGAAAACACGTGTTTCCAGCATTGGGGGAAGTATAAAGTGCAGCGAGAGAACGTGCGCAAGAGGGGTGAAGCTCCAAGATGCGGAGAAAAAAGAACAGCTTGCGCGATCTCTAATAAATTTTCATTTCGGCTTCATCCAGACGAAGCGAAATAATTGTTACTTGCTGTGGTTCTAAGAATAGCAGCAAATTATTGTTTTCACGGTGCCAGCTTATTGACAGCTGTCACGGAGACTCAAGTATAAAAGGGCAGGATTCTACTGAGGTGATCATTCTAAGCTGATATCGCTGCCTGAGTTTCGTTTGTCAATGCTTTTTATGCTTTTCTCGATTTTTATCGCCGTGATCTTTTTAATTCGAAGCTCGGCAGTCACATTTCTCTTCGGTGCTTTATACCGAACATGGATCCTACAATCCAAGCCGAACTCGAACGGCAACAATGCTGGAAAAACTCTCGTCCATCATGGACAACAAGTTGGAATCTATGAGAGACAGCTGGAGGAGTCTTCAAACACGCAAATGAGCGAACTAAAAAAAATACGCCTCACTGAACCTCGCATTTTTAAGAAGAAGGGACACGAACAACAGTATAAGCATAACAAAAAAGTGAAGTCTGTGGTGAACGAGGCCAAGGACGCCGTCGTGGCGGGAAAGAACGAGGCATGCATTTCCAAGCTTAACGAAGGTATTGAACTTATCGATCAGCACCAAAAGCTCATTCTCATAGCAGACAAATCTGACTACGGCTGGAAAACTGTTGGGGAATACCTTGATAACGAGCTCGCCGATGATGATCAGGACGCCAAGAAAATGAAGAAAGCAGAAAAAGAAGCTCAACGGAAAATAGCCGAATCTCGTGCCGCCAAAGCCGCGAAGGCTCGCCCCTGGATCAGGAATCCTAGATCACCGGGAAACACAATTGCAAACTCATCACCATCACCCAGCCCTTTCTCTCTATCCGCAGCAAACTATTCTCCCCGTTTTGCTTCTTCCACGGGAGGTCCAAGAGCCATAGGCTCATTTCCATTTTCAAGTGGGACGGCTCCAAAACGCGGCACATGCTTCAGTTGCGGTAAACCAGGTTATTGGCGTAATGAATGTCCTCTGTTAGCGGTTGCCCGAGTACAACAAGAAGGAAAGAAGCTAAGTGATAATTTTGTATGATTTATATGATGTAGAACCCGTGTCAGGGAATTCCGAATTTTCAGAGTTTTTCGATGATCCCATAGATTCATGTATTTTTACAACACCTGCGAAGGGAGTTTTTTTTCCGAGCTGGAATGTCGTAAAGAAAGTGTTCGCCGGAAGTTAATACCTCATTTTTCAGCATGGGAAGAAATAGGGTCCCCTAGCTCGGTATTGAGTGTTATTACAGAGGGTGACAAACTACCACTGCTTACTATTCCTGAGTCATGCATTTTGGCGGATAACAAATCCGCCATAGATAATGCTTGTTTTGTCACCAAGGCTCTAGAGGATCTCATGGCTTCCAATTGTATTTCAATTGTCCATAGTCCACCGTGGGTAGTGAACCCTTTAACTGTGTCCGTACGGGCCGAGGGTAAGAAACGCCTTGTGCTCGACTTACGACACATAAATCCTCAACTTTTCAAGTACAAATTCAAATGCGAAAACATCAGTAATGCTCAGCAACTGTTAGGGGAAGAATACTACCTGTATACATTCGACAGCAAAAGTGCTTATTATCATGTTGAACCTATCGGGGCAAACCAACTTATTTTGTTTTTAATGTACTACCATTTGGCATGTCTACCGCACCTTACATATTCACCAAGGTGTTGAAACCCATGATTAATTATTGGAGAAGCGCAGGCAAGCGAATTTGCATGTTTTTGGATGACGGCCTAGGTGGCAATTCTTGTAAGGAGTCTGCCTCCACGGATGCCGTAGCAGTAAGACCAGATCTCGCCAAATTAGGCTTCCTTCTTAGTGTAGACAAGTGTGCTTGGGACCCATCCCTTATTCAGACTTGGTTAGGCCATATTCTTAATACGTCTGAAATCGCTTGTATGTAACCGACACCAGTGTGTCCAATCTCAGGGAATCCATTTCATCTGTTCTCGCAAACCCCCACAAGGTTACTGCCACACGCTTAGCCAAAGTTACGGGTCGCATAATATCTATGCACAAAGCAATTGGCTCCGCTGTGCATTTGTACACTAGGCAAATGTACCTTGCCATAGAAATTAGGGTCTCTTGGTATTCTTTCATTTACTGCTCCCCAAGGGTGATAAATGAGCTACAGTTTTGGCACAATAACGTGAGTCAGCTGAATGGTAGAGACCTTTTTGACAAAGCCCAAGTCTTTGATTCTGTTGTTTATTCAGACCTTTCCCAACTTGGGTATGGAGGTTATGTCATTTCCAACAAGCAAAGTTTAGTATGCCAGGGACAGTGGTCAGTGGATGAAAAAAGAAATATTTCCACCTGGCGAGAGCTCAGAGCTGTTTGTTATATGTTATCGTCCGCTGGACACATCTTCACAGGACACAAAGTACAATGGTACACTGATAATCAAAATGTGACGCGCATAATCGATAGAGGCAGTACTAAACCTGACCTCCAAACATTGGCTGAAGAAATTGTAAATTTGCGCAACAGTCACAGGGCTTCAGTCATCCCAGTCTGGGTCCCACGGGATAACAACCAACTCGCTGATTATCTCAGCAAATTCACCGATGTCGATGACTGGGGCGTACATTCAAATATCTTTCAGTGGCTTAACACCTTATGGGGTCCTTTCACATGGTACAACACTAAATGCATTAGGTTCAATTTCCACTTCTGGAACCCAGGGTCTGAAGGCGTTGATGCCTTTATTCAATATTGGCAGGGAGAACACAATCGGGTGGTACCCCCTCCGAGCCAAATAATCAGGCCATAGCATCACTTTGAGCTGTGCAAAGCTAAGGGAGTACTCATAATACCCCTTTGGAAAGGGGCTTCGTTCTGGCCCTGCATTTGCCCAGATGGCACCCATCTTTTTAAGTGTGTGATTGACTGGGTTAGAGTACCCCAATTCCATTTAGCTGCTACGACTAAGGGCAGGTCTTACAATTCTTTGTTTTATGGTGGAAAGCTGGAGTTTAAACTTATAGCATTGTATGTTAATTGTTAGTCTGTGCGCAAAGGTAACAGTGATAGGGGGTCTTGTTTGTCAGCGAAAGGTTTGTGTGAACACTGTAACAAAGGTTAAGCTAGTTGTACAGCAATAAGCCCACAGGTGGCTCTTCCTTGCTCACAGGTGGCTTTCTCTTACCCACAGGTGGCATTTTCTTGCCCACAGGTGGCAATTAAAGAATATACGACTTTATGGTACCCCTCTTCATAGGAAAGGTACCACTTGTTAACGGGTAGCATTGAAGTTTGGAGTCCATGGATGACATCACACCAAGTCGAGAGATGATACATTATATTTTAATATGCTTTAAGCTATCAGTAGCGTTATCTTAACATCATTGTAATACTG